TCTGATGAAAATTTTTCTGTTCTAAAGGTTACCTTGAAAAATTGGTTACCTCACATTCGTTACTTTCAAATATCTAGTAAAGACGTTGCAAATTATATATTCCATACTTTCAAATTCTTGAACAAAAACTTTGGAAAAATCTGAGTAAAATTATTACATTATCCGATCATAAAGTTACATCAACAATTCCCACCTCGTATTATTTTAAAATCAGAATTACCAATTAGATCAACTGAATTATTTTCAACTGTTATTAATGAAGAACATGCAGAAGAAATTGCATCATGGATTGATAATACTGCCACTCCGTTAATGCAAGAAACAATCCATGAGAATTTAGATTAATTCTTTGTGGAAGTAGAAATGGGTTTAACTGTAAATCATTTCAGGATTTATGCAATATGAAAGTAAATACTGTTACGGTTATAAATGTGAATGATAATATTGAAAGAATTCTCGGTGGATATAGTCCAGTTGCATGTGATAGAAATAAAAATCAATAGCTTGGTCAACTGCCAAGATAGCTTTATTTTCTCATTAAAAAATAATACAACCCAAAATTCTATTTAGGTTGTGCTAAAAACTCAGCGTACGCTATTTTTATTAGTCATTATACCTATGGTATAAATTTTGTGCTTGTTCTCTTGCCATGTTTAATAGTAATGATAGCCAAGACAATGGGTGCAGTATCTGTTATAGAGGATTTTATGAAAAACCAATTGCTAATGAAACATATCAGATATAATGTTTTGCCAAATTATTTTGTAAACGAATATGAAGTGTTTCAGATTCATAAGAAGTCCAAATAAAACTAGATAGCTGTAATGTTAACTCCAATATCTAAGAAATTTATATGGTGCAAACCCAGTATTTTAGTTTGACGTATTAATGTTTTATTTATCGCTGGATTTTATTAATATTTTAATTAGCTAATTAGCGTAATTAGATTTCATCAAGCTTTTACGTATATTACAAATTGGGACAAATTAACATTTGGTACGTACAACATATATGCTATACAATAAAATAAAGGATATTAATAAATTGTCTATCAGAAATTTTTAGCATGGATCTTAGTATGGAAGTATCAAATCTGACTCACTTGGTTAAAAACAAAAAAAAATCTTAAGAATTAAATCTTTTTTTTTTTTTGAGATTGTTGAAAGAAATACTATTCACGTTCCTTTACAAGAGTATTTAGTACATGTATACTTTTAATTGAGATTATGACTATTTCTTCATAAAAGCAATGGTATCATGCGACTGCAAACTTTTTAAAAGTTTTATTAAAGTTGTAGAGACATTGTTTTTAAAGGTTTATAATAGTAAATTATAGAAATTAAAAATTTTCAAAACCTTTAAAACTATCAGAATATTTAACTGAAATCTCAGATCAGAATACTCTTGATATAAGGTTATATCTTAAAAAGATTCGGAAATATAATCAAATCTGAATTCACTAACGTAGTCGAATTCGAATTTAAATACCGAATAGTTGAAGGGTAATCAAATCCAATCCGAATAACCTTTTGAAAATAGGTTATTCGCAAAGAATTACATACCCTCTTCGTGTTTTTTTGTGAATATACAAAAGTACTATTATTCCTAAACTAATAACAAATCCAATAATAATAATTTTATCTGAGTTGTTTGAATTTTGAATTTGGTCAGGAATTGGGGGTGGAATGTATGAGTCAATCCATCTATATTGACCATTTGAAACGTTGAGAATTCTTATTGAAGGATTTATTAAATGGCGAGTAAAAATATCGTCAAAATATTCTCCTAAATGGAAAAATGAAATATGATAAATCTATAGCCATTTTCGAATAATGATATGGAAATAAGCTTACCCACCAAATGAAAAAATTATTACGTCAAAATAGAGTGTAGCTTCATGACCGCTTGAAATTATAGATGGTACATTTCCAGTTGGTGAAATAACGTTCCACACATAGGTTGAAAGATTCAGAATTGCTAGACCGGAATATCCAGCAGTTTGATTGCTACCTCCATATATTATAATACTTCGGTTGTCAGATAAGAGGGTTGCTGAATGATGAATCATTGGAGG